TCGCATTGAGACGATACGAACATTAAATCGAAAGGAGCTGGGCACGAGGAACGCGGCGGAGTAGTTAAGAGAGCAGCTTTGTTAGTAAGGTGTCTCAGAACAACCCTCGCTTTCATGGTCGAGAATCGACTGTGATTTCCAAGACTAGTTTCTGCTACCAGCGATCAGAATCATCCTTCTCGGCAGCTACACGCAGAACTTGTGATAAGTCGCCTGAGACAGCTGGATACCAGCTGGAAAACCCAAATCATACAGCCGTTAGCGGTTCCCGTTAGCAATCAGGGAACCGTTGATTACTAACGGTCTCACCTCCCTCTGCAGGAAAAAGGCTACTGAAAGATAACTTATCAGCATTCAAAATAAGCTGTTACGGAGCTGAAAACTCGGTTAGTGCAATAAGAGAAGACAAGGCTCTCTCTGACTTAAGCGCGGAGGCGGATGTGGAAGCTAGGCGTGTACCGATTGCAGTTTTCTGGCCGGTTTCCGATGACCGATCTTTAAAAAATTTGACCTGCCTATTCCGATTTTGGCCAATATCGATTTTTACTTTTTTATTTTTTTGTTTTGTTTTATATAGCCAACTCTGTGTTACAAAGTCGCAATTAACTTTCAATGTTCCAATCTTATTTTATTGAAAAACATACCCTTGAACAATAGCTTTGAAGCAATATAAACTTATAAGTTTCAGCAGTCTTCTTTCATATGATCAGATCCCTGATTAAATCTTGCTGGGAGAAAGCCTGTAAACATAACTCTTTTAAGCATTTTTTGAACTGTTAAAATAGGACAGGAAAATTCATGAGATCTTTTACCCTGCAAAAAAAGAAGGCAAGAGGAAGAAAGTCTTTGCTCTCAGATAGCTTCTTTATCTAGGATTAGCAAAGAGGATGATATATCTCTCCTTAGTGAAGGTCAAATTAAACTTGATGAAATATATAAACAGAAGGCTCGAGGTGTGTTTGTCAGGTCTACAGCGAGGTGGTTGGAGGAAGGGGAGCAGTGTTCTTTTTTAGTTTAGAAAAGTCTAAACTTCATAATACTTTAGACACACTAAGTCAATGATAAGATTCTATCAGTCCATAAAACCCTTGGATCATTTTGTTGCAATTTGTACAACAATCTCTATTCTTCTAAAGACTCAGATGAAAAAGCTTCTTTACTGATTGATTCCATTAAACATTGCAAAGTTATATCTGAGGCTGAAAAGCAAAATGTGTGATGCTAACCTTACTCTAGAGGAAGTAGAAGAGGCTATTTTAAGTCTTAAAAATAACAAATCGCCTGGTAGTGATGGGCTGTTAAGTGAGCTTTATAAGAAATTTGTAAAAGCTCTTAGTCCCTTTAATCTTAACACTCTTTCAGAAAGTATTGGTCATGGAGAATTCCCCTCTACTTTAACACAAGGCCTTATTTCTGATCCCGAAGGCTGGCAAAGACAAATTACTCATTGACAACCGGAGACCTATTTGATTACTGAACAATGACTATAAAGTTTTTGCTATTATTTTGGCCAGAAGAATCAAATAGACCCATGGTTGTATTATTGATGAATCTCAATCAGGCGTCATGTCCCACAGACACATCACAAACAACTTAAGGCCTGTGCTGGATCTACTAGACTATTCAGAACTAATAAATGATAATAGCTTTATTTTATACAGCTTTTGACGCTTTAGAGCAGGTGTACCCAAACTTTTTGAGACCAAGATCTACTTTTTCTGTCACCAGTCGGCTGAGCTCTACCTCATGACACAAAGATGTAAAAATTGTAAATGAAACTTTATTGACTTATTTTATATGCAAATATCCATCAGTTATAGCAGAAACATTGAAGTGATGGAAAACCTAATGCAGTTTCTTCCTCAGTGAGACTCTGACACTGGGAGGAGGTTACTGGTTTCAGAAGCTGGTTGCAAACCTGAGATCAGCAGGTATTAATCGATTATTGTAGATCTGAACTTTGGTTTGATGACCTCAATTCTTTTGTCCATATCAATTATGGGGGCCATGTAGATTACTAATGCCACAATTAGTCAGAATTACACACACAGGTTCAAATATGTAGCTCCTCTAAATTAATGGGTTTTTGGTATCTACCATTTTTGTGTGTTTGAGACCATGCAACTGTGTTCATGTCTTCTTACATCACTTACCTTTGCAACAGCTAAAATACGCTCCATGACGGGCTCTTTAACTCTAACGCCCTCTGATTCTAGATGACCATCCAGACGAGAAAGGTCAAACGGGATCAGGCAGGTCGTGGACAGCCACAGCAGCAACATGTAGCGTGTTTCCCAAGTCTGAAACGTGAAACAAATAGATCTTACTAAATCACTGTAGAAAGCATATAGTTTGCACTCAACTATAACCAGCCACAAACAAAACTGCTACACAATAGCACTAAATCGGTAAATTTTGTTTCTGCAGCACCTTACACAGATATATAGATCACAAAGTGCTTCACATAGGCAAAACAAAATAATGTCATAACTATTAAACTGCAGTTTTTTAATGTGAACCTAAGATTAAATGGCCGTGGATATAATACTGTGACACTAATATAATTTAAATCCACTATTGTCGTGAGTCAGATTTTTAAATGTATTTTGATGTTATTGTTATAGACAGAATGGCAGAATGAATATCTATCTAATATTTTGACAGTGTTTACCTTTAAGTCTGTAGGATCCTGTCTGGATATCATCTCCAGAACTGGATGAACATCAGCCACCTCATGAGGAAGAAGTTGCATGAAGATTTTATAGCCTCTCACCTAACGAGAAGAAAAATTTATATAAATCAACTAAAGGACTAAGTTATGTGTTAGAGAAATAAATGAAAAATCTGTGAGTTACAGGTTGGGTCACTCGCATAACATTTTAACTGACCTTACAAATGACATAAAGGAACTGGAAGCTCAGATGAACCAATGAAAGGGGTGAATTTTCATTCCTTACGAGGTTAAGCAGCATATCCGTTACCCATTCTAATAACAGCACAAAAAAAAAGTGAATAGACTTTTCATTTTGTCTGCAAAAAGTAGTATTTGTAGTTATGTCTGCAGTGTACCTAGATGAGGATCTAGCAGATGAGGCTGGTCCTGGTATCTGTCCATTATTACTGTTGGCATAAAAAAAATACAGACTGTTAAGGACTGAGGTTCAAATCCAACGTGATTTAAGTGCTTTATTGTGGTTTGCCACACCTTTGAACTTCTGAACTGCAAACTCCCCTGCTCGATCGTCTTCGTGGATCTCTGGAAGACTACCGATGAGTGTTCGGGTTTCACTGCTCTCACTGAAGCCACCCAAAACACATGTTTTAATAATGGCATCTACCTCTTCCTCCCCTCCTTCTGGGGAACCGTTTTCTGCTTCCGATAAGTCCATACTGCTGGTGTTTTTATTATTATTATTTACAGAAAGCCGCTGTAGGAGGCCTTTCTTTTACTAAGGTTTACAATTCTTAGCTAGCTAGTATTAGCACATCACCCTAGCAAAACAACTGGTTAAAGCTACGAGGCAACAGAATTAGTAAGCAAAACACGTTTAAGAATAAAATACTATATTTTGTGTTGGTACAGAAAGAGCGTAAAGTAATTCTACTTGCAAAAAACGAGTGTAAAATCTTAACTGCGTGGATGCTGGCGCATAATAGAGCATTAGTGACGTTCCCCACCCCTGCACGTTGATGTGCCGATCGCGATTGAGTCGACCGGATTTGCAAACTCTTTGAAATGAACGACGAGAGCCATGTTTTGCTAGTTTACAATGTTTTCCTGTGCTTATATTTTACCCTTTCGCACTTTTTTGTGTATTAAACCTATAGAAATATCCTCAAGTTTTCAAATGGTTTTTAATTATATATCCACTGTTAAAAAACGGAGAGCCCTCAATTTATCATATACGTCCTCCTATGGTGTGCTTCCTAAAAACCTGTATATAGCTAGGAGAACTGAGATATTATTAAATTAATGATTATAAACAGTCAGTTTTTTATTAGTTTTTTAGATCTATATATTTATTTACATATTTGCTTTTTGTTTATTTGTATTTTAGACAGTGTTTATCCTATTATAGTACAGCAGAAAAATTACAAAAAAAGTCAAACCCATGTCAGCTTAAAACCTGACAGATTTAAATTATTCAAGCCAAAAACTTATTCCTGTGAACAATGCGGGCAATCCTCATATGTGTGTTCGCACATATGCTAATTCAATTTCCAAACCCGACTCGTTTGTAAGAGGTAGAGGTCTTAGTGAATAAAAAACTATTTTGGAAGAGTTGTTACTGAACTGAATCAAATGATCCGGATCCTAAGCAAGAGTCGGAATTCCCCTCACTGGATGTGCTTCGAAACGCCACGCCTTGCTACGGCGAGTGATTGGAATCAAAAAAGACCAAATGCAGCAGGGCCGAGCTCAGAGCTTACCGTTTCTCAAAAGTTGGCTACTACATGTCTTCCTGCCAAGAAGAATGTTAAAGAATTTTATTAACCCACAAGAGCACGTTCTTATTCCTAGCTTCTTTATGGTGATAAAGACATTTTATTTTGATTTTAACATAAGTGAAACAATAATAAAGAAATCTTAGGTCAGACAAATGTTTGGAATCATTGCATAATTTATTATTGGTTTAGTAGCAAAAAGTATGACAACCAATGCATATCAGGATCATGGAGAAAGACTATGAAGACTGCATATGTCAAATCTTTTAAAATATCAGGAACTGCAATTCTTGTTGAGTGTAATTTACACTGGGACAACTGCATGTAATAAAATAATAGATATGAGAGGAAACACACCTCTCATATAAACATATGAGAGGTGTGTTTCCTCTCATATCTATTATTTTGACAGACCGCAGATTAATACTTTGTGTTAGTTCTTCTGGCAAGCCAAGTTTAATGACCTTAAAGAAACCTACACTTCATTTATTTAACTACAGTTTTAAATCATGGAATCACACATAGTGTATAATACAGCAGAGTATTGCAACATATTTGTTTTAACTATATAAATGTTTTTTTTTCTCCATTTTCAATACATCTAAGAAATTCCAACATGCAGTTAGATGTTTTAGAATGTTTAGTAAATTTCACTCTGCCATTTTTTCTATCTAAAAAAAATATAGATATTACCTGGCTTATGATAAGACTTTAAAGCTTTTTTTTATTTTTTTTATTGGAACTGTGAGAGTTTTTATTTGAGCAAATTCTTCATAATCCTTATCGAAGAGCCTCTGTAGCCACCTCCAAAGTGATTCCAGTGATTCAGGTAATGGAAGAGTTGGTAGAGCTGGTTTCTTTGTGCAAACCCTGGTGTTTGAGGGATCTTATCATGGTAAGCAGAGTAGAAAGAGTTGTTGAAGCCACCAAACATCCCACTAATAGCCAGCTCAAACTCTGAATGGCCATAGAAAGAAGCTGGGTCAAAAATGACTGGGCCATCTGCACATTCTGCCACGTTGCCCCCCCATAAGTCTCCATGGAGGAGGGCAGGGATGACCTCCACATTGGTGAAAAACTCAGGGATCTTCAGCTGTAATGAAGGGATCACTTATGCTTTACATTAACAGATATAGGATGTTATAAGGATTTAAGGGAATGCTCTAATAGTCAGTGCACCTGCAGTTTTGCCCACAGCTCTCTGGCCTCACGATCGCCATGCGATTTCTCCACCATGTTCAGTTGGTACTCCAGCCTCTGCTGGGAGTAAAACTGCACCCAGTCGCTCTGCCACTCATTTTTCTAAAGACATGAAGGAAAACAAAGACTCTGACTCCATTGTTTACCAATACATTATGTGCACATGCTTTTTTTTACCTGTGCTATATATCCACAGCAAGTATTTACATCAAAGCCAAATTTCTCAACAGGATCCATCTCAGTGTGTCCAGCTCCTTTACCTGAAAAGGGAGACATATAATAAAAAAAAAAACTAAGTGTAATTTGAAAATTAAAAAAAACATGGACATTTGCGGAATTGAAAATGTCCTTGTGAATGCAGTGCTGGCTGGTGTTTGCATGCACTGGAATAAAGTTGAAGTAAATTACCCACTGTTTGCTGCTTTTTATTTTGTTTTTCCAACTGTCTTTTGTTGTGAAGGTGCAGATCCGCCAGCTGCTCTCCCAGCTGTTTAGAGTACCTGCTCAGTGGATTTGACACAGATTACTTTTAGGAACATAAAGTTACTCCCCATGGACAGTAATGTACTTCACTGTCCAATTATAGGATAGAACAACATAAAGTAGTGAATAATTAAGTCTAAAGAAAAGTAAGGACAAGAGCATGAGGCACAAATAGCAAAGTAACGGTGGCAAATTCACGACACATTTCTGTTTGTAAAAAAAGGGGAAAATAATGATTAAATTTTTTCACACTGCAATATTAATCTATGAAAAAATATAAATACCAAAAACAACATTGAAGTTTAAAGTTGTAACCTGACTAAATGTTTTAATGCCTCCTTCTACTACAAAGCACTGCAAATATAAGTAAGGAGCTCTCACTTGTTAAGACTTCTCATGTCCAGATGCTCCATCACAAATAAGCAACCCTCTGTGTCAAGCTCAATCACCTTCAGTGGTTTCGGGACTTTGACAGTTTCTGTCTTTAAAATTGTTTCCAGGCTCGACATCTCTCCATCAAACATCAACTTGGCCTGTAAAAAAAAAAAAAATAGCAAACGTAGTCGCTGATCAGTGTCATTCGACAAGTTTCCTGTATTTTCCAGGTTAGAAGTGTGCATTATTATCATTCGAAAAGTAACTGCACAGCACTACAAATGCATTCAGAGTTGGAACTCTTTTTTTTCCACTAGCCTGAATGCAAACTCGAGATTAAAACCCAAATTAAACAACAGTTTGTTAATCAGAATGATTAAAAACAAAAACTAAATACCCCGCTTTTGTGATTGATCTTCACAAACACTCTGCCGTGATCAGTGTCGTAACTGTGGCCCTCACTGATGCATCCCCCGCCTGCGTGTCCAGTTGACTTCAGCATATTTGTCCCCAGCTCTTTCTTTAATTTAGCTTCCATGGTGTTCTTCTACAGCTTGTCCTTATAAAATCACAAAACTGCAACAAAAAAATGCCAATGCAGCAGGTCAGGAGACAAGAGTCCGTCTCTCTGACAGCTTCCGTCGTCTAAATCAACGGGCACTCTTTGAGCATGAGAGAATCGTGGAGAGAATTGTTTATTTCCGTATTATTTTTACGGATTATGTTAGAACCAATCAGAGGGCGCCAAGAGATGATTGATTTCTATCTCGACCTATTACGGTTAAGTACTATAATCACGTGAGCGTCACTATGGTTGCCAAATGAGGCGACTATGAAAACATGATATTACGGTCTTGACTTACTACCTCCATGCAGAAAAACGCAAAATGACCAGCAAAGAAGTGTGTTTACTTCTTGGGGCAACTGGTGTTGGAAAGACTTTGTTACTTAAACGCCTACAAAATATCCTTTATGCTCGTGTGAATGTTTAAACTGAAGCAGGATTTACAACAGGCTAGTAGCTAGTGTAGCTATTGCAATTAGCCTGCTGTAAAATGGGTTTTAAACGCCTGTTGACAGACAGAACTTAAGTTATTGAATATGTTTTATAGCTTGAGAAATAACTCTGAATATACCACCTGGACATTTCTAACATTAAAAAAAAATCTTTGTCTTTACAGGTAAATTTAAACCACAGCAGTTGCTCCTTTTTAGTTATGTTTCCTTACAGGTTTATGAACTGATCAGTTTACATGGTTCATGCGAAATGGGTTCGCCTCCATCGACTCTTCCCACAGTAAGCATATTGTTTCATTTTATATATTAACATGCCCTGCTGCATTCTTAACGGGCTTAAATAACAATCAAACTTATAGCAGCTGATAATGGACCCCATACTAACAGGTTACAATAAGTATATTTATAGCTCTTCTAGTGTTTCTGCAAAACATTGAAGTTATTTGGCCATAAAGATAATGTTTATGTTTGGAGGAGGGATGAAAAGGCTTAAAACCCCAAAGAACACCCCATCTACAGTGAATGAGGGTTTTCATGTGTGTAGAACTTGGAAGGTTCTCGTCAAGGTGGAAGAAAAAATTTGTGAATGAACGACATTCACAAATTTGTGAATTTGTGAATTCACAAATTTGTGAATTTGTGAATACTGCTGACCCTAAACTGTCAGGAGAAAGAAATAAGAAATTGCAGCTGTAAGGTTCTGTGATCCGTTTCTGTTTTGGTTGCCATACATAAACTCTTGGGTCAGCTCTGACTGCACTTTATCACTACAATGTCAACACACTATTTGTTCTTCTGCAGGTAGGAACCAACCTAACAGACCTGACCTTGAAAAAGAAGAAGGTGACAGTGAGGGAAATTGGAGGCTGCATGGGGCCTATATGGCCCAGTTACTTCCAGGACTGCTTCTCGGTTATTGTATGGGCTTTGTGTACATGTTGCATTATTTACTATGCTGACGATTTAAGAAAAATGACTGTTTTCTTAGTTAGAATCTTTATTTCTTTTTTCATATAGTTCATGGTGGATTCAGCCAACACTGTCCAGATATCCTCCTCCTGTATCCAGTTGCTGTCTGTGCTCTCTGCTGAGCCTCTGCGCAGTGCCTCTGTGCTTATTCTCTTCAACAAGAGGTATAACATCCACATCAGTCCAGATGTGCAAGTTGTCACATGAAGTCAGATCAAGATCCAATTTCCCAGCCTCGTGTCTTGGGTAGAGTTATGTTGTATTTGCTGATGTTTCGTTCCAATCTTGTCCAGGGACATGCCTTGCATCATGAGCCTCACGGAGATAAAGTCACTGTTCAGAATGGATGACATCATCGCATCGGCTCCTCAGCCCATCACAACGCTGGAGGCCAGTGCCCGCTCTGGACAGGGTTTGCAAGAGGTGCTGGGCTGGCTGGAGTCTGTCACAGTCAAGTGACGTGTGTCTGAGATTTTACTGAAACGTTCCCCTGAGAACTCGGAGAAGCCTTCTAAAAACTTTACATCAAGATTCTCAGTCTACAGCAACAACTCTGATTTCAGTTGATTTGATGCCACATTTAATGCTGGACAAAGAAAAAGAAAATGGGCTGCAGACCTTGTAAGATGTGAAATTTAAGAGGGAAATTGGTCCTATTATTTGCTGGAAAAAGGACATGATTCTATGAAATAATCATTGTGATGTTTGCTCAGTATCATCATTTAGGTTACATCTACCAATTTTCTTTCATACAAGTCGCTCCAACTAGTTCATTCTTGCCTGATGAGAGGTAATCTAAGCTAAAACTAAATCTAATGAATCCAAATATGGATGTGAGTTTGACTTAAACTCTCATAAGTTTTAACAGTTTATGAATGAGGGAGAAGGAGGAGTGTGACTTATCAACAAAAGTACTGTACGCAAAGGCAGTTTACTACTGGTTCTAGAGGTTCGAATTGCAAATGATTAAAAGCTTATTGTGCAATTACAGATTGCATAAAATGAATGATCACATTTTGCATATAATTAGAATATTGTTATAAAACATCCCGACTAACGAGCGAGGAAACCATTATGCAGAGAAAGACACAAAAAGAAGTACAAAAGTTTGCAGAAACAGTCAGAAGTAGGTCGCAGTCGCTCTGAGATGATGTGCTGTGTAGAAGAAAGCAAAGTACAACTCTTCATGTTTATTTATAGGCCAGAAAATGAAGGCCACTATAAAAAAATACAGCTAGATAAAGGTACGTCTATGGATGAAATTGCTAATTTGTTAGGCGTTGATAAAAGTGCAGAGGGAAGATTCGTCATTAAAATTAGTTTCTGGCATAAGTCTAAGTTCTTTCAGCAGAACAATGACTTAAATCGCACATGAAGCACAAAAAAAGGGATTATTGAGGGGGGAAAAGTGGACTGTTTAAAAACCTGGCCATGGATTATTCCTCTGTTAAATCTATCCATCTTAGAGCTAGCGCAAAACCAAAATGATATAATAAAACAAACTGCTCATGGTCAGGACTTGGTCAGTGAATCTTTTCCTTCCATTAAGTTTTCCTGCTTTTTTCAGAAATGACCATTTGTTATGTTCTCTCACGGTGGAGTGCCACTGTCTGCTGCACAGCTGCTGAATCAGCTATCCAGCCCATATATTACATTTCTGTATTTAAAGTTATTTTTCTATAGGTTTTCTTTAGCTGTAAGTAAACAGTGGAAATGAGTAATGAGTGTAACGAAGCTATACAAGCTTCTTTTATATTTGAATTTATAAAGTTTTTTTTTTTTTTCCTTCAGTGATATTAAAATTTAGTAAGATGCACCCATTTATGTGGCATCTTGTTTATATACCATCATCAGTATGGGGTACAGCATAAATGTAAATGTATTTTTGCCAATATCTATACTTTTTTTTCCTTCATTGGTCTCTGGAGCACTTTGAGTTAATTAAACTGATGCTACCAATTCTGTACATTTGGATTTATTTTTTTAATATTGAGAGATTTACATGATATTTAGATGTTCCTTTAAGTTTTATCAGGATTTTACCCACTTACATGTAAAAGCAAAACAAAGAGTCAAACTGGTTTTTTGTTTTGTTTTTTTACTTAGGTTGATTATTTTCTGTTTAAATGTACTTTTGTAGAGGAGATGAGGAAAAATAAGAGTAAATCATTCTCGATAAAAATAAATGGTTGCAGATTTGCTGCTGTATTTCATTAGTTGGCGTTTTAACAAGCAAATGGTTTTACATTCCTGATGCCATCTTGCATATTGGAAATTCAAAACACAATAGGTAGTTTAATCCCACAATTATTTTTCAAATTATATATATTTATATACACTGAATAAACCAATCAGTTCTGGTTCATCGGGTAAATGAGTTGATGTAGGGGCGTTTCAGGCACTGGGCAGCAGGTGTTGCCTGTTGCAAGAGATCTGAGGCTCAGCACTAACCACAAAGCTGGTGGACAACAAAGTAATATCAAAGTGTACTTCTGTTTTGTTTGAAATTGTTACCCATTAAAAACAGTACAACAGCTTTCATTGGCTGTGGTGGAGGAGCAGAACTAGCTTGCAACAATATAAGCATTACTGTTGTATACAACGATATAAAAACCATTAATAATACGCTTTTCAGACAAGTCTGTAGGGCTGCGGTTTGGTTTGCAAAATGAGCATTATTCCAAGAGCATTCCTCCTTTTTTTCCTAGCCCAGTTTGGAGGGTCCTTATAAGAATGGGTTTATGTTGATTTGTGAAGCTTGCAATTCCTCATTGCTGGCTGAGGAGAAGGGCAACAAAGGCTCAGGGAGCTTCACTGGCAGCTCCAGACCAGGCGGAGTGGGGTGGGTGAGCGACGAAGGTATGGCGGCACCCTGGTGGCTTGTCGGCAGGGGCAGTGAGGCACTGTATGGCAGAGAGGCGCTCTGGGGAACCGGAGAGGCGAAGGTAGAGCTCATGTCATTCAGGCTGACTTTTGGCTGCTCGGCTTGGAATGGATTGGCAGCTGAAGGAGCACCGAGACCTGAGCCAAAACAAAAAGAAGTCATTAGTTTACTCTTTTTGTTGGTCTGGTTGAATGCCAAACGGCAAGTAAAAATGTACAGGGTGTGTACGATCTGCTTTCAGCTGTAGCTGTGCAAACATTTGTAGTGCCAAAATACCTGCTAAAAATGGGTTTGTGGTCTTTGCAGGAGGATTTGTTGGAATGAGCACATCCAGGTCTACCAAGGAAGCAGCCGTGGGACCGAGGAATGACTCCGGTGTCCTGCATGCACGAGGCTTAGTGTTGCCCAGGCTGTCTCTAAGACCAGACATGTTGAAGAGGTCAGAACTGTCCTCATCTTGACCGTTAATACTCGCATGGCCGCCATCCATTGCTTCGTCAAACAGATCCCCATCTAGCAGGAGAGATAAGCGGCAACGTAAGAATGTGGGACACACAAAACCCGGTACAGACTGAGTGAAAGACAAACTTTACCCGAAGGGCTTCCACTTCGAAGTGGAGGTTGCATGAATGCTCCTTTAGTGGCTGTTTTGTCAGACGGAGCTAAGAACGCATCAACTCCAGAGGACGCTGCGGATAAGCCACAACTTGTGACATTTTTACTTTACTTTTTTGAGATGTATGAGTGTGTCTGATGACCCACACTTACCGGAAGTCCAATCTTGGGCTTTGGGGTTGGAGATGGTGTCTTGGAGCGCATCCCAAGGGTACGCTGGAGGTTCCCACGGTGGTGGGGGGCTTTGGGAAGGTGGCGCCATCCAGGGAGAATCAGATCTTGGAGTCTTGTCTTCTTTTGAGAAAACGGCAGTAAAACATGTTTACATCAGCAAAATGGAGGGAAAAATCAACAAAGAGTCTAGCTACACAATGCACCTACAAATGTATATTTGTGCAAGAAAAACACCGATTGTGCAAGGATATTTTGACACAATTGCAAAAATATTCATACCCTTCAAACCTTTCTCACTTTATGTTTACAAACATAAATACATATGTGGATTTTTTTTTTTTTTTTGTGATAAATCAACACAAAGTGGTACATAGTTCTATTGTACAGTTTGGCCTAGTTACTGCTCTGAGTAGGTTGTTCTTCATCAAATAGCCTTTTTTTTTTGAGTTTGTATACTCCAGTTAACGATTAATCGATTACTACAATAGTTAACAACTACTCCCCTCCATCAGTACTTTTTAGAGCCACTTCTGATTTCAATCACAGCTGCAACTCCTCAAGGTGTGTCTCTACAGTCTAACAACATCTAATAAGTAAATGTTTTGGCCTTTCTTTGATGCAGAATAGAAGTGTTAAGTGTACTCAAGGCTCACCTAGAGAGTCCCAGGGGTCTGTGGCCCTGGCCCCAGCTGCTGCCTGGTGTGAAGTGTTATCCCAGCGGATGTCACTAGGCGGTGCATCTTTAGGTACCGCGAAAATATCAACCAGGTCCATGAAGGCCGTCTGAAGACACAAATAAGAAAAACATGTGATAAACCTATTATTTCTACTGTTTTAGAACACTTTTTTTGTACATTTTTAATCAATGGCATAATACAATTTTAAGTTTTACTCTAATAAATAACTTTATTTTACATACTCTTGCATCTAAAATGAACACCCTCTACTTTGTTTAAGGCAACAAAATGTCAAAACTATTCGTACCCCGCCTCTTCCCTCCATTTCACGTTTGCTCTCCTCCAAGGCTTTCTGGAGATCAGAATCATCTCCTCGGCGAGTGCGCTGCTCCTAAAAACAGACACGGACACATGGATGCCTTTCAGCAGCACGGCTTTGGGCAAAATACACATATTGTCACATTATGCTATATTCATGACTCTGCGCTGTCCCGGGGCGGCTTGTGGACACACTTGGCACAAAGTGGAGAGTTCTCTGGTTAAAGTGCAGAGAGCGCGGCGCATCACTGTCACAATGCAGATCCATTGTGTTGCAGTGTGTTAGCATAGACACGTAAAAACCGAATCAAAATCGACAAATGACCCGAAAGCATATCATTTGAAAACCTAAATGGTTAAACAGGGAGTTAAAGTCGACCAAAAGTTAAACAATGATGACTACCTGCTGGTGTTCCTCCTTGCTCAGGCTCAAGGCTAACTGGAGCTGGGCATCCTCGTCCATTTCCACAGCGGGAGGGGGGGCACGCTTCACTGGCTGCTGGAGGAAGTAAGCGTGATTTAAATTGCGATCGGAGCAAAAACAAAGCTTGGACAGCCTCTTTATTAGCTGCATGCAATTTTACTGAGTAAACATTCAAATAAAGGTGAGGGGTTCAATCCTTTCAGCACCAGGCCAGAGTATCTGATGTGTTGACCTCAACCAAGTGGAATTAAAAAGCAGAAATCTAGTGGTTAGTTTGTAAAGAAGGATGAGGTTAGAGGTGGTTATTCTTTGGAGAAAAAATGACCTTGTCGAGTTTAAAAAGTGACAAAATGATGGATATTATGAGTCAGATCTATAGGGGAAAAGAAGAGGGGAGAGTGCATGGAGCTGGTTGTTGCAAAGCAACAGGTGAAGTGCTGCAAGACAGAGGCAGGCTCATCCCTGGTCCAGGTTTACCTTTACCTTCTGCGCTTCCTCTTTGCTGAGTTTCATTGCGATCTGGAGCTGAGTCTGCTCATCAATTCCCACTGTGGGAGGTGGCTAGAGTCGAGTAGGAATGATTAGGAGGAAGACTGATCAAAAGGAGACATTCCAGGCATTTTATCACTGAGTTCATGGGGAAATCATTTGAACAATGCAATAAGCTTTTTTTTTTTTTTAAACACAAAATGGAAATATATGCTAAT